TCTCTCATGAGGAGCCCCAGGATGTGTATTGGTTAGGGCAACATACGTAACCTAAACATCTGTACCCCCACAATATGCTGAAATAAAAAAAAAAAAAAAGCATGCAAATTTACAACTCCTATAAGTTTTGCCTCTGGCCGGAATTTTTCTTTATTCCAGGATGCTATTTCTATTCAAAGTGTGTTTCGAAATTTTTGTTTTGGCAATGTCTGTATCTTTTTGATACCCAATTTATTGATAGCAAACCTTTTGTACTTTCAGGATGGATTTGACTTGTTTGAAGCCATTCAAAGAGAAATCTTGTGAATGAGGTAGACAATCAAATTAGATAATTTAAAAAACAAACAAGAAAAAAAACTTCCTTGTGATTGTGACTCATAATTGACCCTAACGCCAGTTCCTAAAGAGAGTTGCCAAAAATTAGTTGGACTTTGTGCATAGGGGACAATTTTGAAGAATGTCATTGACCTGTATGTATTCGTTCTGCTCTGACTTGTAAAAATCATTCTCCATACTTTATAGTGATGTCTTATGTGCAACTACACATAGAACCTGGTTCAAATCCTTTAATTGCTAATAACCAACTGTGATGTTGAGCAAGTTTCCAAAGCTCAGTTCCCTGATCCGTAAAATGGGCTTAATGTCCAGCATTGTTATGAGGATTAATTAAGATAAATTTCTATTATTTTGCCTAACCCATAGTAGATGTTCAATAGACAAGAGCTGTATTATTTTCCCATTGCTGCTGTCATAAATTACCACAAAGTTAGTGGCTTAAAACAATACAAGTTTATTACCTTAAAGTTCTGTAAGTCAGAAGTTTAAAATGCATCTAAAATCAAGGTCATATGCTGTGTTAAAATTAAGGCATCAAGTCACATTTCTATACACTAGCAATGAACAACCTGAAAAGGAAATTTTTTTTAAAAAATTACATTTACAATAGCATCAAAAGAAATAGAATACTTAAGGATAAACTTACCCAAGGAGGCAAAAGACATGTATACTCATAGCATGGCTAAAAGAAATTTAAAAAGACATAAATAAATGGAAAGACAGCCCATGTTCATGGATTACAAGATTTACTATTGTTAAGATGATAATACTAGCCAAAGCTATCTAATCAACAGATTCAATGCAATCTCTATCAAAATCCCAATGAAATTTTTTTCAGAAATAAAAACATCCATCCTAAAATTTATATGGGACCTCATATAACCAAACAATCTTTAAAAAGAACAATAAAGTTGGAAAACTCACACTTCCTATTTCAAAACTTAGTGTGAAGCTACAATAATCAAAAGAGTGTGGTTCTGGCATAAAGACAGACTTATAAACCAATGGAATAGAATAGGGAGCCCAGAAACCAAGCCTTACATTTATGATCAAATGATTTTTGTCAAGGGTATCAAGATCATTCAATGAAGAAAGATAGTTTTTTCAACAAATTGTGCTGAGAAAACTGGATATGCACAAGCAACAGAAAGAAGGTGGACCCATACCTTATACTATATGCAAAAAAGGATCAAAGATCTAAACACAAGAACTCAAACTATAAAACTCTTTGGAAAAAAACATAGAGGAAAAGCTTTATAATAGTGGATTTAGCAATTATTTCTTGGACATGAACTCAAAATCACAAACAACAAAAGAAAAATAGATAAAATGAACTTCATCATAATTAATTAAAAACTTTTACACATCAAAGGACGCTGTCAAGAGAGTAAAAAGACAACTCACGGACTGGGATAAAATATTTGCAAATCATATATCTGATGGGGATTAATGTCCAGAATTTATAAAAAACTTCTACAACCCAACAACAACAAAAAAAAACCGAATTAAAAAATGGATGAAGGACTTAATAGACATTTCTCCAAAAAAGATATATAAATGGCCAATAAGCACATAAAAAGATGCTCAACATCACTAATCATCGGGGAAATACAAATCAAAGTCACAATGAGGTATCACTGCACACTCATTAAGATGGGTACCATCCAAAAAAAACATAAAGTAACAAGGATTTTATTGTTGGCAAGAATGTGGAAAAATGGAACTTTTGTGCATTGCTAGTAAGAATGTTCAATGGTGCAGCCTCTATACAAAACAGTGTGATGGTTTCTTAAAAAATTAAATACAGAATTGCTACATGATCCTGCAATTTGACTTCTAGGTATATATACAAAAGAATTGAAAGTAGGGACTTGAACTGATCTATGTACACCAGTGTTCGTAGTAGTAGTATTCACAATAGCCAAAAGGTGTAAATGACCCAAATATCCATTAACAGATGAATAGATAAACAAAATGTGGCACATACATACAATGGATTATTATTTAGTCCTTAAAAGGAAGGAAATTGTGATGTATGCTACGACATGGATGAACCTTGAAAACATTATGCCAAGTGAAATAAGCCGGGCACAAAATGGCAAATATTGTATGATTCTGCTTATAGAGTTCCCTAAAACAGTCAAATTCATAGAGACAGAAAGTGGAATAGAGGTTACCAGGGGCTGGGGGGAAGAGAGATTTATTTTTTAATGAGTACAGACTTTCAGTTTGGGATTATGAAAGTTCTGGACACAGATAATGGTGATGGTCGCACAACAATGTGAATGTACTTAATGCCTCTCAACTGTGTATAAAAATGGCTAAAATGGTAAATTTTATGTGATGTATATTTTGTCACAATCATAAACAAAATCGAGGTGTTGGGGGGCGCGTCTGGAGCGGAAGGGCTGGGACCGGATCGCGGGGCGCGGGGCGCGCGCCGGGCGGCGAGTGCGGCGGCGGGAGACGTGAGGCCCCCGCCCCGGGCCTGCGCCGCCATGAACCTGGAGCAGCTGCGGAAGCGAGTCCGGCAGTACCTCGACCAGATGCTAAATGATGTGGCCGAATATTTGCAGTACCTTGGAGCGCTGTATTTTTGTTTCCTGAGCCTATATCAAGCCAATTTGTAACCATCCTGTAAGCATTCCTCCTGCCCCTGGCAGTAGTGTTCCTGGTTTCCATTCAGAGGAACTGAGGCAGAGATTGTGGAAAGACTGAGAACTAGAACAGGGACTACAGCTAGCCATGGTAAAACTTGTGAGTGGCTTTCCATTGTCATCTGCTTGATTTTTGTGTGAATTGGCTGGAGGAGCAACAGTATCAAAGTGCTCTATTTTGGGCAGATAAAGTAGCTTCACTCTCTCATGAGGAGCCCCAGGATGTGTATTGGTTGGCTCAGTGCCTCTACCTGACAGCTCAGTACCATAGAGCAGCCCATGCGCTGCGGTCACGGAAGCTGGACAAGTTATATGAAGCGTGTCGTTACCTTGCAGCTAGATGCCATTACGCTGTGAAAGAGCACCAGCAGGCCCTTGATATTCTCGACATGGAGGAGCCCATCAACAAAAGACTATTTGAAAAAAACTTAAAGGATGAAGGTGGCTTGAAAGACTCCTCCAACGACTGGGAAATGTCAGAGTCCTCAATAAAGAGTTCTATTTGTCTTCTACGGGGGAAAATCTATGATGCGCTAGATAATCGAACTCTAGCGACCTAACAGCTACAAAGAAGCTTTGAAGCTTGATGTCTACTGTTTTGAAGCATTTGATCTTTTAACATCACACCACATGTTGACAGCACAAGAAGAAAAAGAACTTCTCGAATCGCTACCTCTTAGCAAGCTCTGTGTGAAGAACAGGAATTGCTACGTTTTCTATTTGAGAACAAATTAAAAAAGTATAATAAGCCCAGTGAAACTGTCATCCCTGAGTCAGTAGATGGCTTGCAAGAGAATCTGGATGTGGTAGTGTCTTTAGCTGAGAGACATTATTATAACTGTGATTTTAAAATGTGCTACAAGCTTACTTCTGTAGTAACGGAAAAAGATCCTTTCCATGCAAACTGTTTACCTGTGCACATAGGGACGCTTGTGGAGCTGAATAAAGCAAATGAACTTTTCTATCTTTCTCACAAACTGGTGGATTTATATCCTAGTAATCCTGTCTCTTGGTTTGCGGTGGGATGTTACTGTCTCATGGTTGGTCATAAAAATGAACATGCTAGAAGATATCTCAGCAAAGCTACAACGCTGGAGAAGACCTATGGGCCTGCGTGGATAGCCTACGGGCATTCGTTTGCGGTGGAGAGCGAGCACGACCAAGCCATGGCTGCCTACTTCACGGCAGCACAGCTAATGAAAGGGTGTCATTTGCCAATGCTGTATATTGGATTAGAATATGGTTTGACCAATAACTCAAAACTTGCTGAAATATTCTTCGGCCAAGCTCTGAGCATCGCACCAGAAGACCCTTTTGTGATGCATGAGGTTGGAGTGGTTGCCTTTCAGAATGGAGAATGGAAAACAGCAGAAAAATGGTTTCTCGATGCTTTGGAAAAAATTAAAGCAATTGGGAATGAGGTAACAGTTGACAAGTGGGAACCCTTGTTGAACAACTTGGGGCATGTCTGCAGAAAACTTAAAAAGTATGATGAGGCCTTGGACTACCACCGTCAGGCGTTGGTGTTGATCCCTCAGAATGCGTCCACCTACTCTGCCATAGGGTACATCCACAGTCTGATGGGCAACTTTGAAAATGCTGTGGACTATTTCCATACAGCCCTTGGTCTTAGGCGAGATGACACCTTTTCTGTTACAATGCTTGGTCATTGCATCGAAATGTACATTGGTGATTCTGATGCTTACATTGGAGCAGACATTAAAGACAAATTAAAATGTTATGACTTTGATGTGCATACAATGAAGACACTAAAAAACATTATTTCACCTCCCTGGGATTTCAGGGAATTTGAAGTAGAAAAACAGACTACAGAAGAAACGGGACTTACACCATTGGAGACCTCAAGGAAAACTCCAGATTCCAGACCTTCCTTGGAAGAAACCTTTGAAATTGAAATGAATGAAAGTGACATGATGTTAAGAGACATCCATGTCAGACCATAGCATGTGACTCCAGACAGTGGTCCCATCTCGTGTGTCCCAGCGTAGGTCAGTATTCCCTCACCTCCTTGCCAGGGCTTAGGGGTTTCCCACTTCCTAACAGGAACCCAACCACAGCCCTACATTTAGGAACAGAGACCTGTCTTAAGAGACTGGATCACATGCCTTTGCAACAGACACGTTCTGATTCCCTGAACCTACAACATAATTGTGTGTAGTGGAATAAAGAAGGTAAACCATCAAAAAAAAAAAAATCGAAGTGTTGGCAGAGCTGTGTTCCAGGGGAGAGTCCATTTCCTTGCCTTCCCAGCATGTAGAGACTGCACTACTTGGCTCCTGGCACCTTCCTCCATCTTCAAACCCTGCAAGGACGTGGCAAGTTCTTCTTCCCACATCTGACCTTTGTCCCTAGTCATACATCCCTCTCACTCTCTTCTGCCTCCCTCTTCTGCTTTTAAGAGCCTTTGTGATGACACTGGGCCCACCTGATAATCCAGGATAAATCCCTATCATAAAGTCAGCCGATGAACAGCTCGAATTCCATCCGCAACCTTGATTTCCTTTGTGTGCAATCTAACACATTCTCAGAGTCTAGAAATTAGAACATGGACATCTTGGTGGCAGTTGGGGTGGGGGACAATTATTCTACCTAGCACAGGAGCTATTAACATGACTTTTGTATTATTGTAAAATAATATATGTAAGCATGATGTGGAACAAAGAAACAAGCAAAATTACAGGGGGCCTCCGGATGGAGTTTGACCTTGGATGCACAGGAAATCACAGACAGGGGTGAATCATAGCAGAGAAGCCCTCCCAGGTCAGAGGCTTCTCACAAGCCAAGTGGCAACGTGTGCAAATCTGAATCCACCCTGGAACTTCAGTTTTAAAAATAAGACTCAAGGGAGAAATTATGATAGAAAGAATAGTTGCTTTATCTATCTATCTACGTGTGTGTGTGTGTGTGTGTGTGTGTGTGTGTGTGTGTGTGTGTGTAATTTCAATTCATTTATTTTAGAACACAAGATCATGTCTCACCCAAGTGGAGTCTGATAGCTGCCTGGGAAAGCCTCAGCAGTAGGAAGGTTAGTGGGAAAAGTGAGCATCCCCTGAGGTTTCAGGAAGTCTGTGCTTCCCACTTGTGTAGGTCGTCATTAGGGTTAAAGATGCCGTTTCTTGACAAGCTGTGATGCCCTCAGGCCCCAGTGCCGTCCCTTCTGGCACCTGCCTAGCTGTTTACAGTGCCAGGGGACTGGGACTTACAGTGGTACCACTTGGGGACTGGTTTCATCCCTTGTAACAAATGGTGAATACGTTGCAGGCGGGAACTGTGTCTTTCTTCATGTGTCTCTCCCACCCCACCACCCAGTGCCGGCACAAAGTAAGTGTCAACAGGTACTGGCCGGACTGAACTGAGAAAGGCCAAAGTTTCACAGGAAGAGTCGATGGGGTCTCTAAGACCCAGGGTTGGGAAGGGGCAGAGAGCTCCGGGTAGCCCAGGCTGGTAACGATCCACCACACAAGGCAGAGAGGAAGTCCTGGGCGTGGCAGGGCGAGCCAGAGGGTCCCTTCGCTGAGACTGCCTGGACCAACAGTAAGCCAGAATGATTCGGCACTGCACCCAAAACTCCTGCTGGAAAAAGATGCGTTTTCCAGAGCCTCTCTGGCCAGCCCCCAGCTCACTCAGGCCTCCCACGTTCAGGTTTGGATACCAGCAGCTCTGGAAGATGTCCAGGTCAAGGGAAAAATGCAGGACTGGCCAAGGGGAGATAGGGACCACAGCTCTGCAGTGACAACACTCCGCTTCCTGCCGGCCTGCCTGCCTCAGCCTCGGGGCCAGGGCGCCAGGCCAGCCGTCTGCCCGCCAGGCATGGAACAGCTCCTGTATCCAAGAGTCAGACCATTATATGGTCTGTCTTTCAAGTGGCTTTTTATAGAGTACCCAAGTGATGAGCACCTTGAAACAAATGAATACCAATGAGAAAAGCGTCTGCTTTGCCAGGGAAATCACGTTTATTAGGAGGTTACCAGGGAGGGCCGCTGGCACATCAGAGAAATCTCCAGGCAGGCAGAGGAAGGAACAGACTCCCGTGAAGTAACAGGGTGAGGCTGCAGGCTTCAGGTGAGTTTCTTGGCTGCCTTACTGGGGCCGCTCCAGCAAACTGTGTTTCTCTGTTCTCTGGAACGCTGGACCTGCGTCCTCACTCCTCTGGCATCCCCTGGGTTCTAGCGCACAAAGGAGTTGCAGGGCCCACAGCGGGGGCGTGGGACACAGGGGCTGCAGGGGACAGAAGGTGCACAGGGTGTGCAGGGACTGGAGACGCAGGGCCCAATGGGCTTGCCGCACGCGTTGGTCGTGGCGCAGGGGTTGCAGGGCAGCCTGGAGACAGAGAATGATGTGGAAAGGTGACTGGAAGGAGATTTAAAATCATATACCAGAGAGTCCCCAAGAGTGGAATACCTGTCAGGACTTGGCCTGGCCTAGAACAGAGAAGGCACAGGCTCCCTGCTACAAAGCCAACTACCAAGTTACTAACGGTCTCCGCATCATAGAGTGCCAAGGTGCTAGACAGAGACTCTGAAAGTCTGACTTCTACACTCAGAACTGGCCATTCCTAGCTGGAGACCTCAGCAAGTTTACCTTCTCCAAGCCCCAGTTCCTTCACCTATAGAATGAGGGAAATACTGCCCCAAGCTACCCGGTGGTAATTATAAGGCCAAAGAAGGTAGAGTATGGAAAGGCACCCTCTGCACAATACAGTATTGTAAAAAGTAAGACACCGATCGCATGTCATGCAATCATACCCGTCATCACATAGACTGCAAAGACTTGGCTGTACAATTTCAGTTTATGTATCAAACAATTGTTGCTACCAAACCATTTTATGTTTTAAGTGATGATCATATTATGTTTTCTGAGCTCTGTTTGAGCATGTCTGGTGTGAAGGCATAATTTCCTTTCCCAGCTATGCAATCTTTGCACAGTGCCCAGCTGAGCAGTAGACTCACATGTATACAGCTTCATCAGCCACCTCTGGCTGTGTACTCACTTGCAGTCTTCACCCTCCAGCAGGCCCCGGTATGTGTTGATCTCGCACTCCAGCCGGGCCCGAACGTCCAGCAGCACCTGGTACTCCTGGTTCTGCCGCTCCAGGTCGGCCCGGATCTCGGCCAGCTGGGACTCCACGTTGGTGATCATGCACTGCACCTGCGACAGCTGGGAGCTGTAGCGGGCCTCGCTCTCCGTCAGCGTGTTTTCCAGAGAGTTTCTCTGTGAGAGGGAGATGAAGCATGTCAGAGAGCTGCTCCTTTAAAGGGTTTCTCCATGGAGGTCCAAAGACTTCACCAGATCCAAGACTAAGGAGAGCGTGTGGCCCAAAGGGCATCCCCGTGACTCCGCCTCCCCGCCTCCCCCTGGCTCTCCAGCAGGTCTGAGCAGCACACACCAGGTTGTGCTGGGCCTGCAGCTCGATCTCCAGGGCGTTGACCGTGCGTCGCAGCTCGATGATCTCCGCCTGGTAGGACTGCAGCTGCTCCGAGCTC